GGGCTTAGCTAGGTAAAGGAGTGTGTCGGCCGGGGATCGAACCCCGGACCATGTGCATGGTCGGCGAGCGTCCTTACCGCTGTGCCACCGACGCACCTATCTTACATATACATCATTCTTATTTTCTGGTTATTGGAATTCATTGATTGATTTATATCAGTGTTCAACAGGATGTTTATATACCTTCGAGGTGATAAGTATTTTTAAAACAGAATGAGGACTCCCGTCAGGCGTTGATTTTTCAGTACTAAGAGGGTGGATATCTCCTAATACTTCATCGTGGAACTTTCGCCACCACACTAAGTAATGCATTCAGAAATGGATGCTTAAAAAGAAACTACAATACAATGAAATCATATAAACATTGCCTTTTCTATTCTTGAATATCATTCAAATACAAGTGCGATAACGTATTTTCGTTACACTGCCCTCTTTGATAGTGTATTGTATCAGGAAAAATTTATAAAATTTTATTGACAAATGTGTGTTATTATTGTTCCCTTGGGTTACGAGTGAAACATGGGGCTTCAGCAATACATCTACACTTTGTCCTATCCTCTGCTGTCCTCTTCAGCAGTGTCCACGTTTTCCCATAATCTCTCATCTCCTCTCACCATCTTCTCCATGTCAGCCTCACACTGACGACCCACTCGTTGCCTCCACTGGGATTCCACTGGAGCGATGGCCTGGCCTCATGATGTCGCATGACGGCCTCCTCAGTACATACCCAATCCATCTTCACTTTCTCCAACATAATTGTTGAACGACATTTTCTGGCTGCTAATTCTTTCCGGTCGGCCATTTGATCTTCAGTATGGAGTCGGTGAAGGCAGCTGTTGATAAAAGTCCTCAACCTGTTGGAAATGCTTTTCGTAACGCACAGTGCAAGTTCCTGACCCATAAGTTTAGCTTTGATAAATACATAAATGATATGAATCATTTCCGTAAACTCTCATCACAGCCATGCAGTTAGCTGGTGTTTCTCAAATGTCACAGAATTTATTAACAGAGATTAATAGCAGCCTCAAACTTTGTTTGAGGAGATGAAAGTGACACATTTTGAACTTTATTTAAACGGTCTTACGTAATGTGATAAATATGTAAATATCCAGTGAGAAACAGTATTCAGAAATGGTAAGTCAACACCAAACACTTGTGAACAAGAATATTAGACATACTAAGTGAATTTTTAAGAAATTGAAAAAGGTGATGCAGATTAGCTTTATACGGAATCATTACAAAAGTCAACTATAGAGATGTTTCATATTTTGCTCACTCAGTAAATCACTAAAATGTTGCAAAATACTGAATCCGCATTTTGGATTTCACTAGCTGAATTATTTGAGATCGTGAAAAGTGTTTTTCAACAACTTGTGAAAACACTTTGTGACTTTGAAACATATCACAAACATGCAAGTTTTGGGGATACTTTTCGACACGACACAGTAATACACTGTTACTGACTTAATGTCATTTCGAGCATAATTTGTTGCTAATAATTATACCAATATATCTACACACCTTTTTTAAACTGTTTTTGTAGGATATTCGAAGCATAAGTAGAATTGAACACATCAGTAGTGCCGCGTACAATAAGCAAACCCCTAAAACTTACATAGTATTCCTAACATGGCAGCAACAAAAGCAGCATTCAGACCCAGAAACTCTCTTAGAACCGACTTGTGCCTTTTTAAAGATACTGTGGAGCTCATTAAACAGAATAATTTAGTTTACCTAATACATTTCAACGATTGTGAGGTCAAATACATAGATGAAAGTAATAAACCGGAGTCACTGAGACTGGCAGAGTATAAAAACTTGGTGAAATCTAGCATAGCAGACACTAATAAGACAAGAAATCTATAAAAACGCCTAGCCATAGGACTACTTGCGGTCACGTACAACCATACGGTCGGATGTGTGTCAGTGACACAACGGTTAGGACTCTCGCCGATCATAGTCCGAGGTTCGATCCTTTGACGACACACGCCTGATATCAATGAACGGCCCGCAAAATTTGGGCTACGATATCACATGCTGAAAATTCCATACTTGTATCAAAAATACGGTGTGGAATCAAGCTTTAATCAAAATAAATAAAAAAACAAACTGACAGCTTTAAAATATAGTATAACAGAGTGAAGGGGAAGACTGACAACTGGAGATTTATCATTGAACCAGCTGATAATACAAGCAATGGGGATGATTTAACATCTGTCCTGGACATATGGCAAACTCTACCACCCTAACAACAAATGGCAAAGAGAAAAGAGAACTCTAAAAGTCGACTTTCGAAGTTATGCAGCTGCAACTTATATGTTTGTGAAAAACAAACTATGTTCGAATCGTCATTTAGTAGACAATATGATTTCACTGTGTGATACCTACAATAGACAGATTAATATGAAATTAAATACTAAAAATTGTTCAATTTTTACTTATACATTTATTCCCTCCTTTTCTTCAGTCAAATTTTCCATGTTTTCGGCACTTGTGTTGCGTAATTTTTATTGAATGTTTTGGATGTTGACTGGATGACAAAAGATTCTGTAATTCACCTCCATCCACCCTCTCCAATATTGTTATCATCTTCTACCCTATTCTGTGAATAAATGAAGGAGAATGTACTGCAATGGGCAAGCTTTAGTTAGGGAATCTAGGGAAATGTTCAGCCATTGAAGTGTGTTCAATCACATGTAATCACGCAATAGCGTGGGATGGGATAAAAGCAATAAACAGTAATATAATTAAGTGGAAGGAGAGGCTAATGGCAGAATCTTCGTCATCGAGTGAACATCCAGTACACGCAACAAAAATGACGCAACCCTCTCCCGCATATGTGGAAAACTACATTAAACAACAGGAAGGATTAAATTATATATAAAGCGGATTAGAAATTTGTGTGAATAAGTTATTGTAAATATAAGTAAAATATTTTGTTCGGAACACCATCCAAATAATAACACTATACCACTGTGTTACTTCAAGTAAGCCTACCAAAAAACGAACAAAATACTCAAAACAAGCTGGCATTAACATTACTCTTAAACACCATTTAATTTCTGATCAACTCTCACACAACCAGTCAAGGATAAATTACCAAAGATGAACTCATCAGTGTGTATCTACGAATTCAACGGCTCACGTGGAAAAAGTTACATTGATATTACTCAGAGAGTTTTATCCAAGTGCGCACGTAAACATGTACCTGTACAGTTGTGTGAGGAGGCAACCAAATGTGTAAATAATGCACTCTTAGCCCACTTGGTGGATACTGAACATTCAATAAAACCAGGGAAGGCATTCTCGGTTATCTACTCTGTTCTTGGTAGTCTATCTAGAGGAGCTCGACTACGTCTTCTGTGAGCAGCTGAAGCCATAGAAATCAATACAAGAATACCTGGTCTCTGTTTACAGAAGTACGTCCGACCGCTTTGTTTACCTTGGTCTACAATAAGGTCAACAACGCCTTCATAAACACCAGCACATTAAGTTTCTATTGCATTTTTTCTCTTTTTCCTTTGTTTCATTGACAAACATTCATTTCAAGTCTTTTACGACTTCATGACCTTTCTTATGATTTCTATTACCTTAGATTGAAGTAATGCTTTCCTAACGTCTTATTATATTTACACAATCCTGTTCATTCCACTAAGCTGAATTCATTATTACTTGATAATCGTTCAGTAATAGCACTTATAAGGTAGCACTACACCATCATTACTATTTCACCATCATTATTGTTATTTGTTACCCTTACGTCTAGTCTACCCCATTTGTTGGTTTCTTTTTCTGTAGTATTCATGTTGTCTCATACATAGCTGAGTATGCTCACCCTTGAAACCTGTACTTTTGCTGACTACATATATATATATATACATCAATGAATTTATATAATTTCATCTTATCTTATGTTCTTACTGGACATGCATATTCTAAATGATGATAAGAACTAACTGACTATCCTTATTCCACAATACGCTTTCCGATATAATTTTGATATGCCTTGACTGGCTAATGCATGCTAAAGATTAATGGATTTATAATTGTGGAGCCTGAAGAGAAATTTATTGAAAACAACTGTTCGCCTTGATTATTTTTTTCTTCAATAAATTATGGGGATATTCAAGTTAACTGTAGATTGCGCGGTTAGTCCATTGTCCATTCGCAATGGAGTGAATTCTGAGCCAGTGGCTTCACTTCATACCCTTTAGATACTGAATTCGAACTACTACTGAAGAATTTCAAACTACGTTGGAACACCTATCCCCTGATATTCAATAGTTTTCTAAGTGATGATAGTTCGTGATCCATCAAAGAAAATACCTGCTTCATTGAGAGGAAACGAAAACCTATAAACCACTGGGTAGATCACTACTTTTCAGGCTGATGTAAGTGTGAAGGGTTGAATGTTTATATGGAATTTAAAAACTTGGTTACAGCAGGATAAATCTGAACTAACCTTAGGTTTAAAATTTCTCATGATCCAGACTTTTATTTTAACTCTAATTATCAAATAAATCTTTAGTAATCTAGAATTTTTTTCAAGTAGACGACATTAAAATATCACGCATGTTAACAAAATCCACCAGGAAGTCATTTGACTATAAAAAAAATCACTAACATAGTAAAGTATATTACTTCCCTACCAACATACTGAGAAATCTATTTCAAATGTTGTTGAAATTCCATTTTGTTCTTGGTTTTCCTTAAAATAGTGTCGTTGTGAATAAATAAGAAAGAAGGAAACAGGTCGATCCATTTTGCAGTCTTATATGCTGATACTCTAAATATAAATTTGCGCATTTTTAGTGCTAATCTCTGTAATCACTGGAATTTCTGAACACAGACGAAATAAAAATAGGTATACTTCCGATACTGTAATGTAATTAGGGCACATTCATTCATTTGTAAATAAATCTGAATAAATGTGACAAATAAATTTTTAAAAAAAACTAACTGATACATAGAGAATTAAAATGAAGTGAATTATAACCTACCTCTTCCCATTCACTGACGTAACGAACTAATCGAGACAATCGTAACAGTCTGATCAAACTTAAAAGTTTTACAAAGCGTAGAAATCTCAGTGCACGGCCTGAAAACAATAAAACACAATACAAGTAATCGAAAACTGACATATCTGTTTTGTACAGAATACAATATAGCTATCTATCTGAGTTAATTTCAGTAAAAAGTTTATCTATCTGAGTATTGACAATAATTTTTAATTGATTAAAGATGCCCATTAGAGATTTTAAAATATTGACTGCTGAACAAAGAATATTCCTTTCGATAACTTGATCATCAGGTTCTACAGTTATTTATTTTTTTTAAATTAGTTAATTTTTTGATTATAGCTTGACTCCACACAGTATTTTTGATAAAAGTATGGAATTTTTAGCATGTGATATCGGTAGCCCAAATTTTGCAGGCCAACCATTGATATCAGGTGTGCGCCGGCCGCGGACTGAACCTCGGACTATGTGTATGGTTGGCGATCGTCCTAACCTCTATGCCACCGACGCACATAATAATTAAAGAATGATTGTTATTGACAAAATTAGTGGTTTTTAAAGAGTAACGTCGAATCAGTAAGATCAGAATTCCCAAAGTTGTTTGCAAATAGATTGTTAATAGATTATATTTAATTGGTGGATGGTGACTAGCAGTGGAATCCGGGATGCGCATTTCGTCCCATTTGGGACTCGTCATCTGGATGTACCTGCATTCGCCAGTGAGTGATAGATTATAGTCTAAAATATATGTATGTGGTAATATGCATAACTATAACACTAAATTGAACACCAATATTAAAAAATAAATGATTAAGAATGACAGTGAATATATAGTAGTGAATTCTCACGAGTCATGTTCATATTAGATTCTATTCATATTGATTATAAACTTCAAATGGATGAATGATCATGTCAAGGACAGGGGGGGAGAAAAACTTGGGGTAGAAGGTTATGTGTGTTGTATATGTGTTAGTGAGTCAATTAACAACTAATAAACAGAAAAAGAAAAGGTTAGTTAGTGCAAGTGTAATAACGAGAGGTAGGTGGATTAATATGTACAAGACGGAGGGCCACATTAAAAAAGGGCCAACTTAATAAGGTATTTATGAATTTGCAGACTTCACAGCAGGCCAGGGCAGCAATAGTGGTTGGACCTGTTTCTGCTAAATATAGAGCACCGTTTAAGTGAATTGCAATAGTCTCTGCAGTTTGGCGTATTCGGTACCTGGATGCTTTTGGAAATTTATTTGATACCCGATAGATGATAAGGAACGATTCTTCAATGCCAGTTTTGTGGCCGGTTTGGACCAGGCGGTTTAATGCCTAACTGTTGATGGTTTTTACTACACCTTTACTAAGCCACACTGGTAGATATTCCCGAACGAGCATGAAAAATCAAGTTCCTAGGGCAATAGTCAATATAACTCGCTCTACAAGCGCAGTTGAATTGGTAAATACAATCAGAAGTAGCTAGTCTAGGTACTTCATCTTTCAATCGAGGAATCACAACAGGTAGAGTAGAAAATATGACTTGTAGTTTACCAGCACTGAAAGTTCTTTGAGTGGATTTTCTTAACTTGTTAGTAATTATATCACTAGGTGCATCACCCTTGAATCGCAGTCGTATATTTAGAATTCTGATATCAGTGATTCGACGTTATCTTTAGGAAAACACTAATGTTATCAATAACAATCATTCTTTCATTATTATGGATATATAACTGTAGAACTTGATGATGAAGTTATCGAAAAGAATATTCTCTGTTCAGTAATCAATCTTCTGAAATGATTTTTTACACAAAAATTTGATGCAATTAGATCTTGCGGCCAAATAGTTAGTCAGTAGTATTAGTGGTGTTGCATTATTGTTAAAAAATCAAGGATTTAGTAAAGGTTACTCAGTGGTTGTTGGTTACACTTGACAGTCTAAGTTATTGAAGCGTATTTGTGATGTTGATTGTGCAGTCCTCATTTTTCTGGTTAATTACATTCCGACCGATATCACTGACGTTGTTAAAATCGCTTTGTCTTACATAAACTTGTTACATCTTAATACGCGGAAAATTTTCTCAAAATATTAGTCGAACTATATAATTATGTAATGGAATATATCAAAAAAACGTCAGTATTGTTTCGTGCGTTATGCATTATAATTACTTAGGTCTGGACTCATATGTTTTTAAAAAAATGTGATCTAATACCTAATATATTCTCATTTTTCTACATAGTAAGAAAATGACTGTGGTTACTTTCTGAAGTTGTAAACACGCTAGAAACAAAGAAATGCTTTAAGACTGTCGGAACTTTATAACCTTTTTTCATTCAAAGAGGTCCATGTGCTTATTTTCACTATTATTTAAATTACTTATCCCTGAAATGAACGTAAAATCAAATTGGAAAGAGGAGCTAAGCAGAAAATCATATTGCAGCAAATAACAAGTAGTCAAAAGTGCGTTAAACTCATGTATTCTTCAGAATTTCATTTGTGATGAATGAGCTGAACTAAGTTTAACGAAATCTCTTATTTATTTTTGGATTGTAGAATCCCTCGACTTAATTCAAATGAAACGTTATCAAAGGCCATTAAACACCACTGTTTATAGCAGTATAATACTTCACATTGTCTTTTTATTGACAAAATATTATCAAGAAAAAATTACTAAAGGAGAACAAATCTGAAGATACAAGCGCTCCCCAAGTTATTGTAACTATTCATTAAAAGATAAAGTAGTTTCGGAATATCGACAGAATAAAATCACTCAAAGAACTGATGCTCTGAACAGTATAAACTCTTTTTTCGATGTAGTTGTGTTCTCTGAGCTGGACGGTCTATTTAAGAAGCTTTCATTGCCTTACTAGGCAACATCTTCAGCGCACACTTCAATTTGAAGTCACTTCAACATATGCTGATTACACAACTGAAACAAACTTATTAAACGCATCTCCCGATAGAACTTTAAAGGTACCCACTGAGGCTGATCGCATAAATTGAGGGTTATCTTTGTCAGATAATGTTTCATACCGTTTTTTGCTTGATGACAAACAAGAAACAGAAGCGGGAAAATTTACTGTATTCTGAAATATCTTCAAACGTTAGTTACTTATGTTGGTATATCCTACTGATTGATTGCCATGAGTAGTCGAATACCACTCACAACAATCAGTAGAGCTAACCAGACATATCGAAGTAATCTAGACACAAGACGTCATTTGTGCTCGTTCGGGGCAGAGCTTATCAGCGGTGCGCCTGGTGTGGCTCACCTCAAATTGTGTAAATTAGAAATGGAACATTAGCTTGCAAAGTGCGAATGGAATTAATTATAGTGAATGGAAAAAGAGCAAATAAATACATTCATAGACTTACCAGCGTGTACAAATTGTGTGAAGTTTTCATTGTCATGTAATATAAGATAAATGTAATCCAAAGGTAATGAACTTAATAGGTCTAAAAGAAACCATGTCTTCAAATACTGTCGTGCAATCTCTTTTGGATTGAGCATAATTTCATCAGCAAAATTATTCTTAATAATCCCTATGAAAGTTAAACATAAACAAGTAGAATGAAATCATCTAGAAAGTAAAGAACATTAATTAAACTAAATGAGGGTTTACACTACGTCTTCTTATCCCTTCTAAACCGTAGAATACAGAATGAAAGTTTTGACGGGAGAACTCATACTTTCTAATGTATAGAACACACTAGCCAAAGGAATACATTTATACGTGAGCATTTAATCAATTAACTTGTTATTTTGGTGATGTTAATGCTAAAACCATTTAAATTAGTCAGGTTATTTCAACTGATATTAATAAAGACAGAGTAATTTATTTTGAGGTTTACTTTAAGTGTACCAAGACACGTGTTATGCGGACAACCATCAGTGTTTTTTCAATATTATTTTTGATTACTAGATGATTTAAAAAGACTGGTTAAATATATCAACTTTAAACTTAATTACAGCAAAATGTATCAGATGAAAACGTTGAGGACATGAAAACAGTAGAAATTTAGCAGCGAAAACAACTGAAATAAGTGTCGTAAACATTAGGGTGTGTTTTTTAATGTATAATGTAAGAAACAATTTTCTGAAACATTATGAAGCCTACTTGTGTGTCTTGGTAACTAGATTTATGCATTTTCTTTTCAGCTTTTAAGACCGCCCTTAAATATACCAGAGTCTTAATATGCACTTCACTTATCAGTCTTCAGGAGAAATTACATATTTGCTTACTGCACAGTGAATACCACACTGGTTTACAACCAAAATTATTGCTGTTTATCAAGAAATCAATTCACGAGTTATTAAAACGATTTTAGTTCGTGTTCTGTAAGTAGCTAATTGAAAGCTGGAATTGATTTATTTTGCTGCAGAGTAGCAACAAGGACAGATGAATTAATAAAGAAATTTTAGCACTCATCAAATTTCAAAAGATTGGAAAACGTTTGTAGCAGACTTTCTTAGCAACCTCTTTGTAAATAGGTTGGAATTGAACTCTAAACTAGAAGGAGTTTCAATACTAATCGCTGATACACTTTCATTTTCAAGCATTTTTACTCGGTAATAATTTACTCAGCTGGTCGAATACAATAGGAAAAGAATTGAATTCCTAACTGGAGATTTGCATAGTAAAATACTAATTTTGCTGGTATCGAAAACTAACTCTGCAGATTGTATATAACTGGTCAATTTTCCAGAATTATCTTCAAGCCAAAATAATTAACACCTATGATCTGATGTCAGGTAGTTAGGAGACCATTGTTAGGAAACTGTTTACTTACAGTCATCTCAGCTCAGCAACTACAGAAATAACATGAAGATAAGTGGTATCAGTAGCTGAATATACTTCTGGGATTGTGTCCAAACTAGATTCGTCCTAAAAGTCGTCATCACATAAACACTTACATCCGCCAGTGTATGTAATAAAGGCTTCATTAAACAGTAAGTTTTACAATAATAATAGACGTTTATGGATACATATTTCATATATTTTGTAATTTCCTTCAAAATTAAAGAAACATGTTAAAATCAACACTTATTTTGAAGTACTTCAGTTGGGTAGTTTCAATAAAGTGGTAATCAAAGAAATTTCAAGATAAATAATGCTTTTGATCCGTATTCACTGATATCCGATTGCACGTTTAATGACACCAGCTGCAAATTAACCTATCGTAAAATAATTATTTATCTAAGAGCTCAATACTCGTCTTAAATGTTACGTACTAGTGACGTCGGCCTGCTTAAAATTTAGGCTGCCACAAACCTCCGTCATTATATTGCACATAATTTTTTTCGTACATAATGTTTCAATGCATTAAATTATGATATCTAATGGTATTGTTCATTTTCCTGTATATTTCAAATGTTTACAGCCTACAATTTCCCAAAAAGCACAATCGTGGGTAGCAACGCATCTCAATGCATAAGATTTTCAGTACAAACTGACATTGTCTTGGAAATAAAACCAACTACCGACAGTCTTTAATTATTCACTTATGTCCTTGGGTCTCAAAATGTACCCTTCCACTTTTTTAATTGGCTTGCAACCTAATATCGTATATTTCTTCAAGGAGATAAAGAAGAAATATCATAAGGGATTAGTTTACGATTCAGGTCAGACAGCACTATGTCACACGATCTACTGTCCATTGCTATTTGACTTGAAGGTTTTGGACGAAGAGAAGGTTCTGTACAGTGTATAAACACTATCCAATATAAAGCTATTATTATTATTATTATTTGTAATTAGTGACTTTATCTAGGCCATGTGATGCAGCAGTTTCCATAATCATTTACTAAATCGTCTGAAAGTATCTGTGTCTTTCCGAAAGAATAACCTAATTAACTTTACATTAAGAAAGATTCAACTTCAGGTGATTGGGACTATAAACGAGAGAACTGTACATGACAGCAGTTATTTAGTAAGCTACAGGTCATAAGGCCATTTAAATAACATCATTTTCAGGGTGGATCCGATTCGGCACGTACGTTTTGACAATTTGTTTAAATTTCATTCTTCACTCAAAGAACACTTTTAAGGAAAATCAACGGAAGGTTTATAACGTGTAGCAAATTTATAACACTTTTCTAGGACAGATTTTATTAGCTGACAAAAGCCCTAATATAATTTAACCAGGGATAATTATTTTTTTCTTATACTCATTTTCACAGTTACTCATTCGTAAACGCATAAATTGAAAAATAGATTATTGCATGTGATAACTAACGTATACGTTACTGGAGACTGCTATAAAATCATTCGGCTTACATGGTTCATATGAATATCAAAACTATTTGAGAAATACTAACACTAAGGAAATCAATGAAGTAGAAGATAATTTCTGCCAACAATAAAAGTGAGTACACTTAAAAACTCAAATTACTTTTTAGTGGACTTTCCATACAGTATGTGATTGACAATATTTCATTAATCAGTAATGTATAAAGGTTACATGGTAGACGTGCTTATGTATTGCTATACTTGAAAAATGCATGACAAATGATAAAATCTTGATTTATTAACACTACTGTTAATGTAACTGTATTAACACTAATGTAAATGACTGAACGTAAGCATAGTCAAATGGAAGGGTTAGTGTGATAGTAAACCCTCTCAATATTTGTCACACTACTGCAGCGAAAGTTTTACATGTATTAGTAAGCATTTCGGGAAGTAAAGCCAAAGAAATAACAATTAGATGAGGGGTAATCATCATAGAGCAAACTTAAAGAGAATGGGAATATTATTTAGGTTTATAAGAAATCGAAGGTTCGAAACAGTGCTCCAAGTAAGCAGACATGGCACAAATGTAACCGGTTATTGTCTCCATTCGAGTTTCGGTCAGAGTACAATATATTTTTCATGCTTAGTTGTTTGATTGTTGAATGAATTGTCAAATACATTTCATACAAGTCAGAAATACTATCTTTGAATGTTACATATAAGAAAACTCGTAAAAACATAAATTATTGTTCAACGATTAGTTTCAAACCATTTGGACAATAAAATTTTACTGTCGTTATGCTTCAGCTGAGTACTTGCTTTTTTCCGGTTTTCCTAAATTCGATGTCAAATTTCTTAGTAAAAATATGGTAAATAAACATTCTTTTACGCAGCTTCAACTTCATATATTTTCATTCGTCAAGATGACCTACTTTTTGACAGAAACCTAATTTAAAACTTTGACTGAACATTACAGGATTACTAATGTCTGAAACAGTAAACTTTTTGTAAGACTGCCTAGTTTTAAAAGAGAGAAAAATAAAAGCTAATGACTAAAACATCTTTTAACTGTAAAATGTTTACACTATTTGTACGTAACTAGTGTAGTTATTCTGTTACACAATCTTATCACTAAGACTAGGAAGTATCTGTAGTATACAGCCAGATGATAACTTCAGTCATTAATGGACGCGTCTTTGCTATCGATACAGAATTCTTTGTTTATAAATTATCGTTTCAAAAATGTAGACAGTTTATTTTAGTACTTTTCATGATATCAGGATGCAAATCTTAGATGAAAGTGTAACACAAAATGCTTTTTATTTGAAGGGCAGTATTCAGACCATTTTACAGCCTTTTCTAACAGTAACCGTAACAGTACTTTGTTACTTTTTTCACAATGGAAATAATGGAATTACTTGAAACAATTAATCTATCAATCATATATGTATTCGAAGGCCATTGTTTCAGTCGATAAAATTTAATATTTGTTCACTGTAACTCTATTTATAGCCTTGTCTGTGTCAATCATCAGCTGTTATACAGCATACACTCTTTGTACTTAATTCTTTTATGCTTTAGTATCTTAGTTATTTAGAAATTAATACTGTTCACCTAGTAGATTGTTTGCTTACTTTTTTCCTTTTATTAGTGATAGTCCGAACTTCCCTTTACTTCCTCATGTGCATGCAGGTCTAACATTGCCCTGTCTTTACCCTGTTCAGTAGATTAGTGAGAGTAAATAATACGCTAGACTCTCTGATCGTGATTTTGTAAATTTATAGATAAATTTAGAACTTTGTTGTAAGACAAGTTTTTTACTTATGATTTTCTTTGCTGTTCTTCACATCAGATCGAAATTTTGCTCACTGAGCAAACTACAAAAAGCACGGATTGGGCAAGAAAACTTATAAGGGTTTGTGCAGAATAAGGCAGGACCTTCATTCGTCTCGTCGGCTTCTCATCGGCTGAGTATAGCCTAAAGAAATTATTCGGTTTACGTACAGAAGAATTTTAACATGCAGACGTTACTTAACATCAATTGATAGGAGACTCAAAATTTAATAAAAAGTTCTCGGAAATTACACTCATATTGATTATGCTCAGCAAGTTCAAATTTAGAGATGAGCAGTTATGAGTCTTTCCTTTCCCCGCTGTGTCTCTTTACTCTCTCTTTCATTTGATTACGTAGTCTTTGGCTTTAATCCCTCCTCTTATCGATATAGTATAACTTTGCCTGTCTCTTGCTTCTATGATTTAAGTTGAACTCACCACATTATTACTCAGTTTATTACTTAAGCATCTCACTTTACGTCTTTATTAAAGGATTCTTTCGCCACTGAATACAAGTACTTATTGTCTGTTTAAACATGACCTTCTAGATTTAAGCTATATCAATGTAATTTCTGGGCACTGTTTCTTAAATTTTGGAGTCTTCTGTCAAGTGACTTTATATAACATTGTTATGTACATAAATTAAATGATCTCCCTAAGCTGGAAGTGGCTGATGGGAAGCTGACGAAATAAATGATGGTATCATCTTATTCTTCACAAAAGCATGTTCTTATTTTATTCAAATTCATGTATGGGAATAAATTTGTGAACAAAATTTACTTTGGAATTGATGTTTAGTGTAACAACTAATTCTACCTATAAATTCAGACAAATTTTCATAGCATATTGACTACTAAAGAGAAGTGCTTTGATAGAATATTAAATAAACTATTTTTTTGTTCATTTTTGCTTGAGGAGTAAATTTCAATAAAGTCTGTCACAGCAGTCATTACCAACAGTATTAACTTCGAATATCCTCCTTCAAGGGGTTGAGGATGAATAGATTGCAAGTATTTTCAATCATTAAGCGAAAGATACGCAAATTTTGATTCCTGGACCCTAAACAAAGTTTGATACTCCTGTATTATAACTCTTCTCAAAATGTTTTGACTTATTTATTATTCCAGGAGGCAGAATCATTATTGTTTTTCTTTCAAAATATACGAATCGAACTTTGCTGAAATTACAGTCAAAATTTACGCCTGAAACTACCATATTAACGCCTGGATAAACTTCGAATTTTGTAGCTTTGACAAGGACAAACATTTTTGTGAATATAGTTAACTCACTTTTGAAAACTAATTAGGATTAACTCTGAGCGGAAGTCAGTGTTTATTGATTTATCAGTGAAAAGTTTGCGTTGACAATACCTGGCTGACGAGGTTTCACTTGAAAATGTGATTTTTTACTTTTAAATTTACACGTGGTTTAAAAATGATGTACAAAATCCTTTGAAACCACTTTTTCCCTGAATATATGAAAACTGGACAACAGATATTTGCTAAGCACGAAATATTTGGGAGAAAATTAATAATCACAGGGCTTCGTCAGCAGTCAGAACTGAGAAGAATGTGTCAAGACTGAGAATATTGCAGTCAGTAAGAAATCAAATGTGACGATTCGGTAAATATAATAGAGAAAAAACCTTAGTATAATACATACTGACAGGTACTCAAGGAAAGCTGGTTATTCTGTTTCAAATATTTTATGATTTAGCAGAATACTGATTCGACTGACATCTCTCTTATGTTAAGTGCAATTGTGTATACAAATTCAAGTTCATCTGCAATAGAGAATACTTAGGTGGAAAACAAATAAAGCGTTACATCAGTTTACTTGAACACTTGCAGAAGAGCTGTTGATTTTTAAAATTATAACTAAATTTAGACTGTTGGTTGCTTAAGTCCCACTTATCATGTTTTATGACGTTTCTTTACCGGAATGTCCTACAAAGACCGCAGTCCTCATGTTACGAAAGCATTCGTACTAATGGGTACAATTCAATAATTCTGTATGTTGACATTTATTTTGCAACTCTGTGCTGATCGACAGATGTCCACTAAATGAACAAATTTGAGTCGAGTTTCTAGTTAATATTCAAGCAGCAAGCTCCATAGACTATATGCTAGTAGTCTGAAAGTACTGGATTCAGTCTCATGTAAAGTCATCCTGTAATCAGTGGTAAGCAGCCCAGTACACCTTGATTTTCAATGATTCAGTACCTCCCTTCAGATTTCCATGACATCGAAAGGGAAAATTCAGCTAATTTAATTGCTCATTCCAACATTATCTATAAATTCTACTGGCCAGCGTTTTTCTAGTATAACTGAAAGTTAACAATCAGAGTTGCAGAACAATCGGAAAGTGACTTTGGAAAATTGACTACAATTTGAGTAAATTAACGGTTTAACTTTGATATTTCATAATTCTTTCAGACAAGATTTTTAGATGTGTATTATTCTAAAAATATAACGTATCAGAAGATAACACGGCAAGATGTAACCATAAAAGCCAGATTCTTTACTTCTCGAAAGTATTTACTGTAGATAGAAACTAAGATAACAATCAATTTAGTGAAAATATATTATTTTCATAGAATGGCTTAAATGTATGTTATCTCACCTGTACGAAAATTTACGCCAATATCAATTAGAAATACTGTATCCGATACACAGTTAAATACAATCCAATGAATGCTTAAGTCATCGTTGAAGAAAGAAATTGCCACTGGTAGAATTATTAGGTTTGCGATCAATAATAACAGCATGATCAGATCCCAATAAAATCTAATTTAAAAAAGGGAAGAAATGAAAATATATGGGAGTTATAGTATCAGGTTTATCAGGTTAATAGTCTGCTGAGATAAAATTATAAAATGTTATCTTCACTTTGAATGTCGTGAGTTTCAGCATTTCCCAAAAGTTTCACTGTACTTATGCATTTCACTTGAGATCGAAATTCACTCAAAATCTCTTTGTTAAGGCTATCAGATATCTGATGATCAAATAGTTCACGAAGGGATTTCTGAATAACTCCGGTGATACATTACTGTAGAAGAAGTTCAAAACTGAGGTTAAAGACAACAGATTAAAATATACGAACGATAGTGACAGGAAATTTATAAACTGAAAACGTTTCAACTTTGATGATGTTTCAAAACAATATTGTTACTCTAATTGTTATCTACGTAGAAATGTTGACATTTTCAGATAGCAAAAACAATAAGCATTATATCAACACAGAGAACATGCTGTGGGAGATAAATCTAGATGGAAGAACCACTCATGTTACCTCTAGATACATTTATTCACCTACCTGTACTTACATTAGTATGAACGTGGCAAAAACAAGAGGGTCCTAAAAGAAGGATTTCTGAACATGTGTCAAGAAGACTGTCATTTGGTATAATCGGTAGACACATCAATATTACAGGTCACGCCCTCAGTCCTAACATAACTTTCTCGGTGATATATAGACAGAGTAATATGATATGTAGAAGCAGTAGTCCAAAGAATGAAGCCTAATTTATGCTTGCTTTGAATCGACATGTTAATTTCTTGTTTCTTTGCTCACCATTTTAGTATATCTTCTATCTTCTTACTATCCGTAAACGCTGTCTATCTTTTCAACAATTCCCATGATTCATTATATTTATTATATAATAAAAGTCTTGTTTTCTAGTCTATCGTGCATTGATTTAGCACTATCCCAACCCTATTATACCATTTCTGCCATATCCTGACATCCCTGTCTACAGCCTTGAATCATGATCGCACTTATCAGTACTGTATTACATTATTTTGTTTTCTCTGGATCGCATTTCTAGTTCGATACGGTATCGTAGTAACAATTCTCAGCTTTGTTTATAAACAGTAATCAGGTTGTGAGGTACGTCATTTTTATTCCTATGTAGGTGTGAAAATGCTTAATCTCTGTGAAATATTGGCATTAGACGATAGCATTTCAAATTACTAAATTGTGCGGGTATGTGGAAGATTTAAAGGGCACGAAGTGAAACTGAATTCAGTTCATTGCATAATGTTCATTTCTTTGCTTTGCTTGATCAACCTGATTATTAAGCAAATATTATTTGTTATACTAACAATCATTATTATTAGTTCACAATGACTAGTAGAATTAGGTTAAGAAAAATCAAAACACTATTCAAATGTTCTATCTTAATGTAACCGGAAAGTTGTGCGCAAATTATCTATACAAAATGAATACCGTTTTAAACGCTTGAAACATCAGATAAAGAAAAATGATATGGAACCATGGTCTACCAGAGTGTCCTAATTCAACCCTTACGGAGAGGTGGCTGATTTTTTCACCACTTTTATCAAAATAAATGTTAAGCTAGAGGACATATCTATTTTTTTAATTTTGATTACAGCCTGATGCCACACCGTATTTTCAGTACAAGTATGGAATTTTCAGCATGGGTATCGGTAGCCCAAATTTCGCAGGCCGACCATAGATATCGGGTGTGCGTCGGCAGGGGATCGAACCCCGAACCATGTGCATGGTCGACGAGAGTCCTAACCACTGTGCCACCGATGCACAAATAAAGGTTACAAGGCTAGCGAGCTCGTAGACCATTAAGCCACTGTGACTAACTCTTATCATAAGAATATACATTTTGCCTAGTAAGTGACTTGATATCATCCCCGAAATCTGTGATATATTTATCAACTCTAAACTAAAAACCATTTCAGTACCATTTAATTCAACTAGATTTTTGCAGTACTTTGAGTAGAAATATTTCTCAGATGTGTCGGAAACGAACAAAAACCACTGGGGAACAGTGTGAAACCAATTAGGTATCCACGAATCACACAATATTATTAAGTTCACCACACAACTAATGTAAAAGAAGTGTCTTGACAAGGGATTTAGAATTCCAATATGTTCCTTTCCTTATTGCAATAAATTTCGATTCTGATAGTTACAATTCGATGTGTGCAAATAAAAACAAAACAGAAGACAGAGTAAATATTTTTAACCGGTATAAAAATATCCACAAAGACGGTAAAAGCTGCTTCCGAATAACAATATCTGTCCACTCAAAAATCACTAATACAATACGTCTAATTCCTCTTTTTTTCTTCTAATTGAAATTTCAAACTATATCTCATTAGTGAGTTAATCAAGCAACTAACAAAACTGCTCAACTAGCGTGATAACGAAAAAATCAAGTACATATCGTTTTGTGAAATATGAAATCGTTTATACAACAGATGAATATGTTAATCAGGTGAGATGAGGAAACGGCTAAATGGTAAGCAGAAGTATGTGAACAGGTCTGTTAAAGTGACTGAGGATTTTGAACGGTTAGATTATTCATTTAATTCAGTTTTAGATTTTCTCGTCGATTGATTGGACCGAAGTGTTCGGTCTCAGGTTGACATATCTGTCGGCTTCTTACGCAGATGCCTCGATGATGTCTGGGCATTTAATTAGAAGTTAATTGGTGGATGGTGACTAGCAGTGGAATCCAGGATGCGCATTTCATCCTATTTGGGACTAGTAACTGGATGTACCCACATTCCCCAGGGAGTGATGATGTTCCCATCGAGGTTTGAACCCAATGTCCATAGTTTCAAACTCCTAAGCGTGGTCTAGTAGATAATGCTTTGGCGTTTGAAACAATTGGCACTGGGTTCGAACGTCGATGGGAACATCATCACTCACTGGGGAATACGAGTACATCCGGTGATGAGTCCCAAATAGGACGAAATGCGCATCCTGGATTCCACTGCTAGTCACCATCCACCAACCAACTGGTTAGATTATTTTTTTATTAGACTCTTGTTAGTTGGCAAGCATTAAATTATGTATGTAATGCGATTAAATTTTCCTCAGTAATTAAACAGAATCAGAATAAGTGTTCATAATTTACAGGTTAACCAGCAGATACTTGACAAGACTTTTTTTCAAGGATTTTCACACTATAACAATGAACATCATTCTGATTACAAAGGTTTTCGTTTTTCTCAGTAAATATAGGTCACCAGAGAATTCTGAGTCTAGCATTTTATAAAAGTCAGCTTTTATAGAAAAGTCGCAACTGAAGCTTTAAGAGTGTTGATGTCTCTGTTGGCCATAAATTTGAATTCCTGCCTAAAATTTATCTACTTCCTAAGTTTCTTTTAAGAAGCAACTGATTTCACATTTTGCTTTGATCCGTATTATTTTTCTTTGTCCCTGTTTAATCACTAATTTCAATGCTTCTCTTTGTGCTTATGTGTACATTAATAACGTGTTGTATGATGTGATATCGTCTGAGTGAATGAATGACAGTTCTGACTTTGGACTGTCTGAATGAAGTATTCGTGTGTGATTCTGGTAGACTGAGTTTTGATCTCACCTTGTTGGGAATATTCTACCTGATTCTAAGGTGCTTCTTACAGTCGAATTTTGGCCAACTTATTTCGCGCTACAGTACTTGTTTTATGCTTAGAAACCTACATTATATGTATAGCTGCCAAACGGCACTGTTAAGGTACTTTCTAGTTTTTGATGATATTACTGTTTAATAAAGGCACATATAGATTGATATCACAAACAGTCATCTTCTTCCTGTCTTTGGAGCGCTCTGCGACTGTGAGTTTCTCAAGGTGGTTTCGGGCAGCACTACAGTAGGATGCTAACATCGGTTCTTTGCATTTAGATAAGTCGGTTTCGGTCACTACATGTACACATATATACATTACATTTACTGGTAAACAGTTAAAACACCAACATAGCATTTCTACTGAGGACCTTTCATATCAACTGGTGGCTTCACGAACCATTTCTATTGATATACAATTATTTCTGACAGATGAGACAGTGCCAGGAAGATTTTGCAACTGCACTGACGTAATTCTGCAAGAATTTAGATAAATGTCTTCATTGGCTTAACTTTATATTGTATATAAATACTTCAGTTACTTGAAGATATGCCTGCAATTTATTAATTTCTAACTATGCCTTTCTTGAATCACCCTCATCTTTCCATTTACACGACTGGTTTATGCTTCCTTTAGCGTGAAGAAGATACTTTCATAATTTCTTGTTCAGTTCACTTTTCTAAACAGTTACAAAGAGATTTATTCAAGCGAGATACACTTTGGACCGTAATATATCTTTGTTAGTGAGTATTTATTCATTTTTTTACATTCGAGGAAATTTAAGAAAACGAATTCTGTCTCGGTATTTGTACGGCAGAATAACTTATGACTGGACAAGTGTATTTAAGAATATATATATACTTATCTTCAAAGTATAAATTATTATGTGCATATATTAGTTACACGAAATTTATGTAAACAGAGTTAATTACTGAAGTGCGGTACTCTAGACGTAAAATGAAACTATAAATCAAATTATGTAATGCAATTACAGATGGTAACTAATGCATCACTGACGAAATAAGCCTAATATATAATAGGTTATACAAAAAAGGATGTCTGATATTCGAAATTAAAAATTGTATTCTTGGGCGGTTAAATTACCAAAAACTACAAATATTAAATTATTCAAATACACAATAAATTATTTATTCAACTGTACATCAAATTTATTCGAGTAAGATTCATTAGAGTTTTTGCCTCAGTGTATAAATTAAATTGTGTATTTCAACCGTTTGTCCGATATTTCAGGTATATTTTTAGTTCGAATACGACTGTGGAAAAAAACAACTAAATGGCCAAAAGGTGTAACAGAAAAACCACTTTTATTTCAATATCATGGTATTTATAAAAATAATACATAAGCTTCATAAACTTGAGATTTTAGAATACGC